AGCAGAAAGATAGGAACTCTAAGAAAGACTTAAAAGAAAATTTTAGAAATGAATAGTGGTGTAACAGAAATGAATAATGCCTTATACTAAAAAAATCTATACCTAGTCATATCATATTCAAACTGCAGGAAAATAAAAAATGAGAGGTAACTCTGGAAAAAAATAAGGTCTGGCAGTTTTCCACCAGTGCTAGAAGACACAACATAAATCTGATTCACAAAGTCCAATAATTCCTAGACTGTAAGGCTGTATAGGTAACATAATGGAATGGCAAAAGGTTTTGAATCAGAATGATAAGGATGGCTATTTAAAAAAATCCCACTGGAAGCTGTTTGGAGAAATGATTCCATTGACAACAATATTAAAGCAAACATGTCCGATGTGTAATAGAAATTACAGAACAGAACTTAGAGCGAAGGGCTAAGGTGTCAATAGAGAAGTTGTCAGAGCAGCCATGGAAGCTGCTGTCACAGAAGTGGGTGATGTAAAGGGGAGTATGAGAGACAGAAAACATGTCTTTGCAGACACCAGCCTGTGCCTTATGCGAGCCATCATCCCGAGTCTCTGTTTTCTGAATTACTTATTAGGTAGGGAATATGTTGACCAATGATCTAGTCCTTCACATTCTCATGCAATTTATTGAGAAAATGCATGCATGTAAGCCTATTTTTTATGATCTGTGAAGGAGGAGGTATAATGTCAGTTATAAGTTTCCTTCAAGCTGTTATTTTACAATACTGTGATCATTTTGATTCCTGGGTAAGAATCAAAGGGTCCGCAAATATGCTAATTTTCCTAGAAGCATGTATTTTTAATAACATATCAATACAACTTTTAGATTATTTCTAAAGCAAAAAGTAACCATAGTTTTAAATATTATTTTTCTAAACATTGTATTAGGGTGAATTTCTGGAGAAAGAGCGAAATAAAAAAGAGATAGTAGTACTACCTCTCACACACAATCTATAATTGGTAAATGTTACCAAATCTACTTGCAACAAAAACAAACAAAACAAAAATTTAATATGTTCTATAATGTCCTCACCATCCATTTGAGTCTCATTCAGAAATAGCTTTAGCTTCCTGCTACGAAGGCCAAACACCTTGGCTGCTTCAGACAGAAGACGTTGGTGGGTAAGTCCGTTCTGCCCAAGTGGGTTTTCAAGGAGGAGAGTGCCCACTGTTCCCATTAAACACTCTATGGAAGACAGAACAAATTGGGTTAAATTCTGAGAGCTCACCCTGTAGCTGTGGGAGCCTGAATGAAGGCAGTGACAGCAGAAGGCTGGGAAAGCCAGCAGTAGGTACAAGAGCTCGAATGAGACAGCTAACTGTACAGTATGCAGAAACAGTCTTAAACATCTCAC